TAATATCTTGGCCTGGAATCTGTTCTTTATCAGCTGCATTGGATGATTTGAGTGAATCATAGTATTTTAAGCGACCATATTATCCAATCTCACACTTTACATGGATTTCTTTATAACTCAGTTATTCTGCCTTGTAAAGCTGTACATACTTGCTGCTTTTCTGTTTTCACTGACCTCACTCCTTCCCTGAATATGGATATGTATGCCTGCAAATTAATTAGGGAATCTGCTGAAGTGTATTGTTTCAGCAAATGCTTATGCCCTAGTAAATTTGGTAGTCCATGAGATGCCAAAGGCAAATAACAGACTAACATGGCTATATTTCTGTAGTTCTCCCTATACTGTGGGATATTTTTTTAAAATTTTGTGGATGAGACTGGGCAGAGAAGTTGAGGGATTAGGATTGTTAGTACTCTCTTTTTAAGGTATCCATCTTGATGAAGTTGTGTTGATGTTAAAGTACTAGAATTTGTATGTATGCTGCAGTTTATTCATTTAACAGACAATAGGTTTCATTGATCTTAGTGGGTCTTATTTCTAAATACTTATATGTAGAGTGCTTAAGTATTGAAATGGCAGGTATGAGGAGATAGCAGACTTCAAAATACTCCAACAAGAAATCCAAATGGCACCAGGATCCACAACTCTTCAATTATCCAGCATCACACCTGGTCCATTATCAGCAGTGACAACTGGTCTTGAACAGAGTTCAGCAGGGCCATGCCATAGAGTTCAGAGCCCTCCATCCATCAGGCTGTTTCAAAATAACATTACTGTCTAAAATTCAAAAAGAGGAGATATCCATGCTTCTCCAGAAGGATGCCATACAGGGGTTCCTTTCAAGTCCTGGGATGATGATTTCTATTCCTGTTACTTTAAGGTCCCTAGAAAGGATGGAGGTATGAGACCCATCTTAGACTTAACAGATGTGAACTCATAGATACAAAAAAAATCATGATGGTGATGTTGGAGAGAGTCTTGCCACTTCTCAGAAAAGAAGACTGGTTTGCCATGACAAGACTTCAAGGATGCTTATTTCCATACTACCATCTGTTTGATCACAATTTTCTACATTTTGCCATGGGTGGCAACATATATGGGCACCACTCATTGCATATGTTAGGATTTGTAGCATAATTGTATTTCTCTACATACATGACTGGTTGATTATGCAGACTCGAAGAGCAAGGTGAAAAAAAGATGTAGCCTTCACTTCACGTCTTTTGTTGGATCTCATACTCTGTGTCAACTTTAAATGTCACATTTGATACCAAATCATAACATGTAGTACATAGGAGCCATTCTGAATTCTGGGAAAGCAAAAGCTTATCTACGGCAAGACAGGATAGACAAGCTGCTAAAGCTGACAAATAAATTCAAGTCATAGTGCACATGGCCCTAAAACCTCTTGGACTCAATAACATCAGTAGTACCTCATATTTGTTTGAAAAAGTGTTCTCTTCAGGCCTGTAGTGGACAGTTGTGTCCAGCCTGTCACTCAGGAGGCCATTCAATCAATTCTCACTTCTTATCTGTCATAACGGATGTGAGTCTTACAGGCTAGGGAGCACACTGTTTGGGCTCCTTTCGCATTTGTCCAAATCTGAAAGTGATTTCTCATAAGCAAATTGGAGATATTTGTTTGTTTAAAATATTTTTATCCCATCTTTGTCCTTTAAAAAGGACCCAAGGCGGTTGGCTAGCAGTGATAAATGTTTTCCAAGCTTTCAAAAAGCTGATTTAAGAGCAATGGATCAGCCACTCTGCAACTTGGCAGAGAGGCTTGCCATCCCGCCTCCTGCCAGGAGTGGCTAATCCATTGTGGACAACAGTATGATAGGAAGGCTCTGTCAAGCACGTGTCGCTGGCAGAATGATGACCCTCTTTATTTCCACCTGTGGGGGGGATATTTGTATTCAAATATGAATACCCTCATCTCTAGTCTAAACACATGACCCCAACCCAGCCCAATCCATTTTTCAGCAAGTTGAACATTTAGAGATGGATTCATTGTCTTGGTGAGTGATTTAATGCCACTGCTGAAACTAAATAGAAGCACCAGTAGTTAGCACATATACCTGCAAGTGATAATTATGGAATTTAACCTACTCACCTCGTGGAGGGAGCTTTCCCCCCAAAGTCATGAGTGCTTCAGATTGAACTTTTTAAAAGATCATAAAAATTACTGAACAAATTGTTCACATCTCTCCTTCATAGGGTCTTACCTATTTTTTTTAGTGAGAAATTGGAACTTGAAAAGTGAAGAATTAATTGCGTTCATATATCTTGCTGCTGGAGCGAAAATAGTTCTGACATGGAAAAGTGACAGGTGCTTCTCCCTTGAGGGTTGGAAATCCAGACTTTGGAACATAGCTCTCACAAAGGAGTTAACACAAGTTTAGAAAAATGTGGATTTAAGATTTACCCTTTAAAAATCCCATTAGCACAAATCAAGCATCATGCTGTCTTTTCCATTTCCTTGCTTCATTGTAGTATGGCACATATGATTAAGACATTTGGTGCTGCAGTTCATACTGCCACTTTTTGGCTTGATCTTAATCTTATTGCTTTTATACTAGTTTCTCTTAGCATTTCTTATCTTTGTGATTAAATCAGTATATTTATTGATTTATATGTTCTAATTTAAAAAATTCTTGCAGTGTTTGTTCTTAACACATTAAATACATAAAATATGACCAAGTGCAATTGTATCCCCATGAGTTAAGAGACTGAAGTAAATGTTGGTGAAAGTCTATATATACAATGTGTGCTGCATGGTTCCATTTTTCAACTTTGAGCCTCTCAAATTAATTTTTGAAATAGTGATAAATGATCTGTAATTGAGAGAATTACATTGAGAGAATTAGTTCAGTACAGTAAAGTGATCCTTCATAGTTGGATACATGTGATTTGAGTGCAATTATTGTTTGTTTTGAAGGCTTTAGGGTAGTGGTTCCCAACCCTGGACATCCCAGGTGTTCCTGGGCTGCAGTGCCTAGAAACTTTTCTCACTAGCTGTGCTAGCCAGGGTCTCTGGGAGTTGCAGTCCAAGAACACCTGGGTTACCCAAGGTTGGGAACCACTGTTTTAGGAGAACATGAATTCCTTCGCTATTAATGTTAGATGCATGAAAACTGTGTTTGTGGTCATTGGCTTTTTCAGATGAGGGCCAAAGTGTGGGTTGCAATCCTTGTTTCAGACTGTGTTAAAATAGTAGTTTGCTTGGCCTGATAGAATAGCAGACAGTGGTTTTATGGGACCAGAAGGAATGTTAAGTTGTGCTGGACACAGATGGACAGGGACTATTTGAACTGATGGTGGGTTTCCAGGTCCCCAAGCCACGGCTTTGAGAACTACGTGAATTCAGCCAGATCTTTATTCTGATAGCAACATGTATATAAAGTCAGACTTGCATTCCATGAAATTAATTATGTTGATTCTGGAGAAAGATAGTGGGGTCATGGTCTTTTCCAGTTCCCTGTATCTTTTAATGCCATCTCCTACACTTAATGTAGGATTGGGGAATTCTCCAAAATACCATGGGATGTGGTACTATGGGCTGAAGAAAACCAATGCCTTTCTGCCTTCCTCCAGGAGGAAGCCCCTGTTAATTTCTGGTGTCCTCTGCAGATGGAGAGAGGATTCTGTTTGTGGAGAGCTAATGTCCGTAGTATCCATAATATGCAAGATACTTAAATGGACCTTCCCTGCTTCTCTACAAATACACTTTGAATATTCAGTAAGATTGTTGACAGTCATTATGGTTGGTGAAAGCTGCTGTTTTAACAGGGTAAAGTGGCTGTCTGTAGTATTATTCATTGTTTTTAAAAAATGAATCATTACTGGAAAGTTTTGATTTGCTTCAAATTTTAGCATATAAAACAATGTTATTGGTAAACAAAGGGCTGCCAATTACTCTACAGCACACCCCCATTGCCTTATGTTGAAATATGTGACTCCTTTTTAGCTAAGAACAGAAGCAAATAGAAATGGCAAATCCCATGTCAGACAAATTTGAGATAAATATTAGTTTGTGTGCTAGAGAGACATAATCAATTGCAGTCAAATTAAGAGTATTACCCAATGACCAGAGGAAACATAGATCTCATTTCTTGGGCAGTGATAAATGTCCTTGGTTGTAGATACTGTCATGATCAGCTGTTCAGGATATCTTGCATACCATGTTCAGAGTCCACCAAAAAAAGAAGCATGTGCTTCTTCTACATATCAGACTTCTACATCACAGAGCTGGGGAGGTGATGCAAAAGAATGAGAAATGTCTGCAATGACTATTCTGAGAAAAAAAAATCCCGAGAAGCTCAAAAGCATGGCTGCTCATTAGATTTTAGTAGTCTTTAAAAAAGTATCACCCATCTTTGTTTTTGGATTGTGTACAATGTCCACAGGGTTTAAATCTCCACTTGGCTATGGAAACTCACAGCGTGGTGGTGGAACTGGTAAAACCATTCCTTAAATATCTTACTTAAAGCCCCATTAGGTCTCTGTAGGTCATTTCAATGACACATAACAAGCTAACAAGGACCACATGTTTTTTCTTCTTTTTTGGTCTACTTGAGTGTAAGTGTTTAGCTTCACTGTAGATTACATTTTACCCTTATTCTTTCAGAATTATGCTAATTATAGAAACCCTGTATTTATTGCTAATTATGCTTTGTGGGCTTCAGAATTATTTTCTCTCAGAGCAGGAGTTTTATATTTGATGGTAATATAACAGGCTTAAGCCAATATAACAGGTTTAACCAATCCTGTGAGTTTTTCTGTATGACTGTACGTAGCCTGTATGATATATTTGACAACACATATGAGTATGCTATCAGAGATTTATATTAAACATTTAGCCACTTGTAGAAATGTCACAGAAATGTGCACAGTACATGTTACCATACACCATGGACTTGGAACTGTAATGCAGCATGACACCAGTTGATCTTTATGACAATTATAATTACTAAACTTTAAACAAAATCTTCTCTTTCAAGTCTGTGCAGAAGCATTCAACCCAGATGAAGAAGAGGAGGATACTGAACCAAGGGTAAGAGACAACAAACAAAACACTTGTTTTTTTTAATACAGATTAATGATAAGGATTTCCTATTGCTTCTGCCATAAGCAGTTATGGCTGTGTTCCTTTTGTTGAACTCAGATCTGTGAACTTACAAAATGAAGTGATTGATGAAGCAGCAAACTTGTTTCTTTGAGGGATTGGACCTTTGTTAAAGATTGGAAAACAAAGGAATTTCAAACTGTACCTGGAGCCATTCTGGCTACAGGAGCTTAATCATAATGCTTGTGAGAAGTAAAACTGGACTGATACCTAGATATTTTCATGTGCCTCTCAATACTTTTTTATCCAAGAGAGGGAGAACTGTACATTTGGCACACTTAGGACTATTTTCTGTGTATTCCCTAGTGTGCAACAGACCTGAAGAACTGAGTTACATTAGTGCTTGCTCATTTCTGTTAATTATAAATTTGAACCCTTGATGTTTAAATTAATAAGATTGTATATTTCTGCTACAATTTTTTTCTTTATTTTGTTTTACAGGTAGTTCATCCCAAAACAGATGAGCAAAGATGCAGATTGCAGGAAGCATGTAAAGATATCCTCCTCTTCAAAAACCTTGATCAGGTAGCGTTGCTCACATTGTGTTTACATTTGAATCTCATCTAAATATTTTACAGATGATGTGCAAATGCAAGAACAGGTTGATTTGTTTTATAACTAGACGTGGATAAACTGGTATTATCCAGCATCAGTTTTCTGAAAGCTTTTCAAAAACAGATGTTCCATTAATTTGTAACTCTCCCCATCAATTGAATAGTAAGACAACCATAGCATGGAAGAAAAAAAATCAAACTTACCTGGTGCTTCCAAAAGTTAACTTACCCCATGTACATTTTCTTATTGCAGTTCTGCAACAACCTTTTAAAGCAAGTTGTTACTCCTGTCCCAGTACTGCATATGAGAAGCTCTGAGACTGATGTGAAAGAATGTGTGAATGTTTTATAGATATCCACCTGTTCAATCTAACTAAGGCAGAAGCAAGATTCAAACTGGGAACTTTTGATCTTAGCTACTACTAGCTGTATTGTAAGAAGAAATAAATATTACAGGTGCTGCCATCTTAACCTTAAAAGCCACAAAGGATATTGGTTATAGGAATAAACTCCCAGAAGCCTTCACTACCAGCTGTACTGGCCAGGATTTCTGGGAGTTGCAGTCCAAGAACATATGGGGACCCAAGGTTGGGAACCACTGTGCTAGGGAATCATTCTTTGACTCTGGCTTTTGGCAGGTGGTGTCCATAGAGGTCTATTTTGTCTCCCATGTTTTTAGCAAGATCTATTCCAAGCTGTTGGGAGGGATCATTCACCAACATATAAACACCAAGGAAGCATGGTGAATGCTGCTTGGGCTCAACAGTGGATTTGTTAAGATTGGGCAAGCACGATGGAATTGTTGGTTAATAGAAAATTTGATTTGGATATTTAGATTCAGTGAATTCTAGAAGAGGTTAAACTTTCCCTGGAAAAGTCAAACTTTTCCAGAAATCAGCTTTGTGTGCCAGCTGTGAGCTTTTGTGCATTGGCCTGATTTTGTTACGGTCATCTGTGTCTTAGTTATATTTTAGTTATATTGTTCTTGACTGCTGCAGTGCATTTATTGATGTGGCTACTTGTGAAGAATATTTGTGAACTTCAGCTGGTGCAAAATGTAGCAATATGCCATATTGAGAGATTGCTGGTTGATTTCTGGGCCTCATTCTAGGTATTGGTTGTAATCTTTATAGTCCCAGAAAACTTTTTGTGACGATAACCTTTTGGTACTTCTGGCTGTTTTAAGAGAATGCATGTCTCATTATGAACCTGATTTGATTGTGACTTGGTTCTCTTGACAATACCAACAACTCTGGAGGCATGGTGGGCAATACAGATGCAGGATTTGATATAAAGCAGATTTATTTGATTTAGGGATTAAGATTCAAATTTATTTATCTCACAATTTAAGTCACTAATCATAAGATCGAAATTAAATCATGGGTTTCTATATACAGATTTGTTCTTACTGCTTGTTATAACCTTAGTATTTCCAGCTCTGATGGTTTTATTTTTGGAATAATAACTTATCAGGTTAATTTTGCTGTTACATCAGAAAATTAATTATTGTGTGGTTATTTACCATTTGAAACAGAGAATTATGAAATCATTGCAAAGTTATTCCCCCCCCAAAAAAAAAGTTTAATAGGTCAATTAGTTGTATTTAGGTATCTTTTCTGCTATACTTTATTGGAAAGAGAAAAATATCATTAATAACAACAAACACTGAACTAAAATAATCACATTATATAGGGTATGTATTTTGTAATTGCTTAAACATTCATGGTTTCTAACTGTGATTAAACAAAATATCTTTTTAAAATTTTTTAGATTGTATCAGCCAGGTCCACATGAAAAAATTAATACTATATTCTGCATCTTCCTTATCTTCCTCTTCATTGTTTTGTTTGTTCATAGTCTGCAAATGAATAACAAGCTTTTCTGCTTTATCCAGTCCCAAATGATTTCTCATTGTAGAATGAGTCCAAAGGAAGAGAATATTGGTTGTTGTGGGTTTTTCGGGCTCTTTGGCCGTGTTCTGACGGTTCCAAGTTTTGTTGAGCTTCACACTTTCCTCTTTTTTGTTGAAGTTCTGCTGGTGCTTCTGGATTTCAATGGCTTCCCTGTGCAGTCTGACGTAATGATTGCTGGTGTTGTCCAGTATTTCAATATTTTGAAATAGAATTTCATGTCCAGTTTGGTTTAGGGCATGTTCAGCTACTGCAGATATCATGGACCACATGGGGAAACCTTTGAAAAAAACACAACCTACAAACAGCATTCAAGCCCACCACAAAAATACAACAAATGTTACGGTCAGCAAAGGACAGAAGGGACCCCCTCACCACTGCAGGAGTATACTGCATACCTTGCAGTTGTGGCCAGGTATATATTGGAACCACAAAACGAAGCATCCACACCAGGATCAAAGAACATGAGAGACACTCAGACTAAAACAACCAGAAAAATCTGCAGTAGCTGAACTTCAGCAAAAAAGAGGAAAGTGTGAAGCTCAACAAAACTTGGCTCCCAGCTCTCAAAAATACAGTGTGCAAAAGGTCAGTGAACTCTACCCAGCCACAAGGACAGGGGATCACTACACACAAAAGACCAACTAATTACACCCGTCAACTACATCTCTTCTCCTTAGCACAACAATGTGCCCACAACAAAACACACTAATCACCCATCTACAGCAAAAGACAAAAGCCTGTCTCACAGCCATAAATACTGCACTCCTAAGCCAACTACACAGACCACAGAGTGCTGTCCTCTGAAGATGCCGGCCACAGAGACTGGCGAAACGTTAGGAAGAACAACCTTCAGAACACGGCCAAAGAGCCCAAAAAACCCACAACAACCATTAGATCCTGGCCGTGAAAGCCTTCGCGAATACGAAGAGAATATTCTTTCTCTGCTGCTAACAGCTGCTGCTGCTAACAGTAAAATCAATACTTCAGTTACTTAAGTGACTTCTACTGGTTCAGTGGTGTGACTTTCTCTGAAATGTCATCAGGAAACATACATTTTTTTAGTTGTTTTTCCTTAGTTCTGAAGTTTATTATAGTTGGGTTGGCATTCTGGATGGAAGATTGCTAGATATTTATGTCATGGCTAACTTCTCTTTAGCACGTAAAGTTTGACTGAGACACTGGATATTGACAATATTTGCAAGAATATGGGCTGCAAATAGTGTTTGTCCCATTTGTTTTTTAAAAAATGTTTGCAATTTAATTTAGTAATTGTGTAGTTCTGTTTTTAAATGCTCAGTTCCAATTTTCAACAGCATGAGTGTGAGGGGGTTGCCTCTGATGTCTTGGCAGGCTGTCTGCCATTACCTTGTGCCTCCTGGAAGGCCCATCAGATGTAGCTCACATGGGAACTCAGATGGATACAGAGGCCGGTCAACCAGTCTGGGACAGGGAGATTGCAACAGCTGGCTAAACCTACCTGTGTGAGGAGGTCAGGTCGAGCCCTAGCAGGTAGCTGTAGGGAATAAAGCAGAATGCAATGAAGGAACTGGAGCTGGCCCTGTATACCATTGAAGGACTCCTGAATGAATGTCCTCATCTAAATTTGCCTTCCTCATGGAAGAGATCACAACAGGTTTTTCAAACTGATACCCTGTCAGGTGCCACCATGCCTGACACCCCACTGGAGACTGGGAAGACTTGTGGGGCAGCTAGTCCCCAACTCAACCCAGAGGAGGCACAAGTAATGGAACCTTCAGGAAGGGCTAGGAACTCTCAGGTCATGGCAGGGGCCTATTTATACAAGATCAGATGTGACCATTCCTCAAAGCAATGTGATGAAATAAAAAAGTCTACTAACCTGGAGATCCTGCATGTTCAAACATGTTCTTTTGTCATCTTCATCATGACTTTCTCCTGTGAAGGAAAACTTCTCAGGAGAAATTCCTAATATTGTTTTCTTTGTGCCTCTAGGCCTTGCATTTTTTGTTGCTCTGTTTGCATTTTATGTGCATGCTGTCTTAGGACCTCATTAAAATATTCCCATACTGGATCTCATTTATGACCTGTTGCCATTGTAAGTGTTCTCTTCAAGGGAGAGAACAATACCGTATGGTGAATCTCAAGCTATACTTGTGAAGATTTCAAGCGTTTTCTGATTAAAACGTTTCACTTCTATTTTTACTGCTTATCCCTCTCTTACACTTACTTAGCTTTTAACATTTCCTACTTGTCCATATCTATTCCACTCCAAATAGTCTGCTATTTGTTGAATGTCTTGGAACTTAGCACTTAAGAGGTAAGGGGCTGATTCTTTGTACATAAATTTGCAGGAATTATTATGAGCTTGATGTCTCTTCAAAAATATTTTTGCATGAAGAAGCAAGTTATCTCTGCAGACACAAATTCAGTTTTGAGAACGGCAAAACCAACAATTTGGGAAAGAATCTTCTAGATTAAAAAATCATTTGAAATAATCTTAGATAAACTCGGGGAGAGCATGGGGAGAGTCCTAGTAGAGTAAAACTCGGTTTATGAAATTAATCAGTCATCTGGGATGTTAGATAATGCGGAAATTACGTAAATCGGAGCGTGGGTTGCCGTAGCAACGGGGGCGGCGCTAGAAACCTCCAGGTGTGATGTGTCCTTTTCATACAACAACCTCCCCCCTAAAAATGTAAACCTAGGCATTATTTCTTATGGATTTCAGTTCGTAGACCGAAAATTATGTAAACCAAGGTACAGTGGTGCCTCGTATTACGACATTAATTCGTTCCAGCGAAATCGCTGTAGAACGAAAACATCATAAAGCGAAATTTTAAAAGCCCATAGAAATGCATTAAAACCCATTTAATGCATTCCGATGCGCTGGAAACTCACCGTCCATCGAAGACCCTCCATAGGGTGGCAATTTTCGCTGCCTGTGCAGCAAGGAATCTGTCCCAGAAAATAGCGGGGGGGCATTTTGTTTACCCGGCAGCCATTTTGAAACCGCAGATCAGCTGTCCGAAAATCATCGTTTTGCGAAGAATCGGTTCCCGAAGCAGGGAACCAATCATCG